CCGCAAAACTCCGAGCAACGACTCCGACGTCCAAACTCAGCCCGTGCACCAGAGAAAAATTTGAACCCTAAACCACAAGACCCCATGTTAGTGAAGCGGCAACTCCAATGAGAGCCCTCAAAAACACTGTCAAGCGCAAATATATGGTTCCTGTGTCAAGACTCATCAAGCCTGTGTATGTGATCTTGGCAAAGCCTGCAAATTCCAATCATCAGACACCTGAACAGGGCGCGGCCGCCCTGCAGTCTGGCATCGTCCGGCGATCTTTTCTTTGAAGGAATGGCTTGGTGAAGCGCTGGGGTGAGGAAGTCAGAGCTCTTTAAGGTTGTAGGTCTTGTTCTGAACCAGTGTTGCGAGCTCATTCTAATCACGAAGGGCACAGCAAAGACTGGCCTCAGTGCATTAGCAAAAACTACAGTGCGAGAACAGCGCGGCTCTCACTGGTTTCTCCGACTTTCTTGACGTGCTGGCCCGACCCTGGCAAAGGTTTCTGGTCGACACTGCGGTGTCTCCGTACATCGGTGCTGTTCAAGACCTAACAGTCCGACTTGTTTCCGAAATTAAGTTACCCCACAATCAAGACCTGGAAGTGTTGGCATGTTCATTATGGCGAGATGGAAGCCGGGACAACGGTACTTCGGGGGGGGGTACTTTGTTTGCAAAACTGCGCGCAACCGAAATCGGTCTCCAACCAAGCTAGCTGCCTTGAACAGCATCCACCCGAGCCCCTGGCTAGACAGGGTTTAGGGTTTGCACGTGCATATACTTCTTCCGCATTGTCGCATCGCTTTCGAACGTTCGCTTTCGCATTTAATCCGGGGCCCGTGTGAACCCACCTGATTCACTTGATGCGAGATCAGTGTGCAGCACTCCTGTGTCAAACTTCAGAAAAAGCTTTGAACCTCCGACTCGGGGTCTGTCGTGTAGTGGTTAGGTTGAGGGTACAGGGTGGGAGTAAGAGCTGGGAGGCATAAGATTTGGCATGCGTTCGGAAAAAGGTATTGTCGTGGGTCTAGAATGGGTTGGATAACGCACGTTGGTGATGGTGACTCTCCATTGTGCAAGCGGAGGGATCATCAAGTAGGGAGGCTAGAAGTTGTACAGAGTTTTGACATTCCAGACTTCAAAAGAGAATATAATGAATGTAGGGCAAACTATGTAAGTAAGAAACATCACCACACGTAGTGGAGCGGGGCTCAGTGATGTGTGGGGCATTTCTTTCTGGGAACTTGAATTTTGTCTTCAGTTGTTACCTCCTTTTCGGTTCTAGGACAGCATAGGACCACAACTCAGACTGTATGGTTTGCCCATCGGAATCAGGTGTTTGCAGGTAATGCGCTGCCATTGAAAGTGTGCTGTCCACTGCCTCGCGCCGGTCGCGAAAGGATACGTGACCTCTTCCTGCTCTTGGCAGGATGACTGTTCAGGAATTTGTGAACTGTGTTTTGGGCATGCATTTCGCTTTTTGGTGCCGTATTTGCGCCATCAAATGCCTGAGTGTTTCCCCAAAGGAACCAGCAACCGTGACATGTGTAGCCCAAATATGAGGCACTTCAGGGAAGACATGTACGGCTCAGGAATGTTCAGGATGTTGGACGCTTCGTGGCCTTAGAGGCGATTAGCAGCCCCACGGCACGGACTTTTTCAGCACTCATCCGGCGTTCCGGTTTGTGGAAGTCCCAAAGTGGGCCTCCGCAGGACCGTGAAAAGAGCTTCCAGAAGCCTGAATCCCGAAGCTTCCCCATGATGATCATCAGAAGAACGACGAAGGGCTGGTACTCTTCCCGATGATATGCAGTGGTATTCGATGTTGGTTATAAGCCACCCTCGTGTCGGGGAAAGCCCGTTTTGGATTTTGGATTTGAGTCGAGTGATCGCTACTCTAGCAACCTTTCAACGCCTCAACTCGCGAAGATCCTGACAAAAGACAAGTGCGAATTCCGTCAACACTTCGGGGTAGGGATTTTAGGTCTTTGATGAGCGATTCTTGATTGCGTCTTGCAGCGGTAGTCCAGTTGAGTCAAGGCGTTTCAAGACGTGCTCGTCTCGATTCAATCAGCTAGAAAAGGATTGGAATTTAGCTTGCAGGATTGACCCAAAACCTCGACCAAACAGCTCGTAGTCGCCACAACGACGCCGGCATGTTCCTTGTGCTCTTTGTGGGGGGCTTGGAAAGCCATCTTGGGCACCCCCCCGTTTGGGCCCCCCCCCGTTAAAGTTACAAACGAATGGCAAGGCTCTTAAGGACCGAGGCAAAACAGGGTTTAGGGAAACCATCTACATCTAAACCGAATGCCCCAGGCCCAGTCCTTCGGTGATTGATGTGTAGGCTTCGGTGCTCTGGCCTGTCGCGGAAAGCGAGCATGCAAAGGTGTCGGTGGATTTTGTTTCAACCCTTAGGCCCTTAGGCCATGGTTATAATTTAGTGTTCCGACAAGTTCCTTGGACAATCTGCAGGCCAGAATCGTCCGCCGTGCTGGCCAGTCCCCGCCAAGATTAGGGCACTATATGCCGTTGGGAAGTAACACGGCATTGAAACGACATGTCGTACTTGGCAATCTGCATGCAAAATAGAGCTGACAAATCTTGAACCCTCAGTGTAATATCTTCGCCTTTGGGACCAAACCTCCGGTTGGCTGCAATGCAAGCATTGTGGCAAGCGGAATTCGGGTGCGAAATATCAGGGGCAACGATTGCGCATGTGCAGTTGGATAAGGTCTGCGCAGGTTTCGCTCAGCAAGAGATTTATGCCTTGCCACTGGGGCCTTGCCGAAGACTGGACATCTGACTCTAGACCAGATTGGAGTGCAGATGCAACCTTGCGGTGGAGTTGACACTTTGAAACCTCGACATCCGCAAAATTCAGGCAAAGGGAGGCAGAGAGAGTTCTCACGATCCGACAGACCTCGCCCACAATAAGAGGATGAATCCACCAGCCTTCTGGACCTAGGATTTAGAACGCAAGCAATATGACTCGAGCCCTGAAACCAGTTACCATTCTTCCCACACCTGCGTCCACCATCTTTCCCAAACACCCGGAGCCATAGTTAGAAGCAGTACGAAGCGCACCCGTGTATCTTCAGGATTGGTGGTTTGTTTTGGCAAATGACGTAGGGTTGCAGGTATTGAGATGGGAGTGCGACGGCAACGTTTTCTGTAGATTGGTATCGTGTTCAGCTTGCATCGTGCTCGAAGCCTCCAGCCAAAGCCAAAACATCTCAATCGAAGCTCTAGACTCTGCATTCTGGACAGGGGGCCCTGAAAAAGAAGCTCTTGTCACAGCCCTTGCAAGTAACAACTGGGCATAGTCCTAGATGGATCTTTTGTTCATGGGTAAATTTAAAGACTATGGCAAAGATCCGAACCAACAACCTGTGCCTCTTCTGGAAGACGTGTAGCTCAGTGAGCTCCATTGCTGACAACTTAGAACACGTGCCTGCAAAAAAAGCCGCGACGAAAAAGAGCACATGACTGCAGAGTAGTTTACACCATGAAGCCGACAGAACATGTTCATGCCAGACTAGTCCTAGTTCGTCCAATCCTATTTGGCCCGAGCTTGGACTCAAAACAAATACAACAACTACGACCTTCACCTGCCACTTTATTTGATACTCCCGACTTATCTTCTAGACGAGACTTAGCGGAACTGGGGCACATACATCTTTGCCACCATCCATCTCAGCGCCATGGGGGGGCAACGAAACCCTGCGCGTGCTGCGCAAGTGCGGGTGTTGTCCTCCCTGGCCCGCCAACATGGCCTCGAAACCCTCAACGATGCAGCCGCCCGAGCAAAAGTAGAAAAGTTGAGCGGTGATTTATTGAATCTTCAGCTAAGTGATGAAGAACGACAGCAAGTGGTCGAAGCTACGACGGCTTTCCAAGCTACATACCCAGATGTTCAGCCACAAGTCGTTCAAAACCCGGTCGACAACAAAGTGTGGAAGTTCTCTGCAGTACAGTTGACGTACAACTGCAGTCAAGGCGAGTGGACCTCGCATGAAGAAGACGTCTTGCGGAGATTGTTCAACCGCTTCGTTGGTTTTTTGATCGGACTCTCAGAAGCTCTTCATGCTCTTGGCACGTCGGCTACCATGGAACGTGCATCACCAAGACAGGTACACATGCATGCCTACCTCCATTTGGGCAAGAGTTTCCACCGTCGTGGGCGTGAGGCCCTTGACGTTTTCAGCTTTGAGGGCGTCAAGCCGCACCTCACCCCCAACACGGCATCTGGCAAGTCCTACATGGGAGCCGTGCGGTATGGCCACTTTTACGTTGTGGTCAACAAGATCGGAACCATGAAACTTGGGCGTTCCTAACATAACGATTTTGCGAAGTTTGTTTAAACCGTGCGGGTTCTGGTAGTCATGTTTTTGCGGCTTGTACCACACAGACATCCCAGATTCAACTACACGGACTTTGGGCCTTTCAAAGCGTACGGGGTGGAGGGTTGGTGGCTGGACAACCTCTTGAAGTCCGGCAAGCTAACCCGTGAAACCTACTTGCACCTAGCTGCCCGTGTTACAGTTGGGTTCCAGAAACGTCTGGCGGATTGCAGAGCAGCGGAACGCTACTTGCAAGAAGAGTCTTTACGCGCTGAGGTTTCGGCGCAACAGCATGCGCTTGAACCGGCCATGCTGCCCATGAAGGTGTACCCCCAAGTGGAAGATTTTATCCAACTTCATGATGGCCAGGCCAATTTTCGGCGGCCCATCTTGGCCATCGTGGGGGGCACCCGATTGGGAAAGTCTGTTCTTGCAGGGGATGTCTTACGCCGGATTGGTGAACGGCTGAACCTGCCTGATTTCTTAGAAATCACAGTGGAAGACTCGGAACAGATGGATTTGGCGGAATTTGACCGCCGAATCCACTCTGGAGTCATCCTTGATGGAGTCGGTGATGCCGTTTTCCTGAAGCGACACCGGGAGACCTTACAAGGTCGGCCGAAAGTGGTCAAAGGTGCCAAGTCTGCCACCAATGTGTACGCGTATTCGTTTTCGTTCTGCGCGCGAGCTGTGGTGGCAACTTTTGACCTTAGTGCACGCAACTTGACCCTTTTAGAGACAGACCATTGGCTGTCCAATAGAGAGAATGTGATTCTTCTCGAGTTGAATGAGCCTGTCTATTCGACAGCGCAGATCGGTGCAGGCCCCTTCCCTGTTGACGAAGGCGACGCCACCCCTGCCGCCTCGCGACCCCCGAAACGCCGATGGCTGGGGAGTCCTGCAAGGCAAGTCCCATTCTTGCCGGACAGATGACCTGCGCGACAGAAAAATGATGCTCGGCCCATACTGGTGCAGCAAAGTTTATGATATCCCCCCAAAATGAATGCTGCAGACGTGCTTCTACTGGAATGACTTGCCCCTAGACCGACAACACAGGCCTGCTTTAAGTTTTTACTTCTTACTCCTCAAGTCACAGTGAAAACAGCAAGCGTAATTCGGGAGCCCTTCAAACAGAGAGCAGCAGGGGTGCTGCCGCAAGGCGCTGCCCCAAAAAGAAGGAACAAGCCTGATTCTAGAGGCCGTTGCCTCCAAACACGAATGCAGCAACCGTGATTTCGAAGCAACCTTGTGGTCCCCGCACTAGCAGCAACAGCCCGCAGAACTTCTGACAACCAGTGCAGAAAAACCTATTGTTCCGACCCCACCGTGTACGAGCATATTGGCCATGACTGTTTGCGCAATGTGTTGAGCCCGAGTTTACACAGACCGTTACGCGTCGAGATAGCACGCCAACGGCTTAAACAATGCTATATTTCGTCACAAAATGCTCCCAAATCCAAACTCATTGTACGACATGCAGCACTCCGTGAAGATCGCATTCCATTTGTAGGCTTTGTTGTCAAGATGTTTGAGTTTGCAGATACGGGTTCGTGGTGTGTGCATGTCCTAACCTGTGTAGCAGGCTCAGGTGGTTCCGCTCGTGGACCACATGCTCAACAGAGATCGCTGCCATTCTCACCCGATGTACCTGCGCCCCGCTACCATGCAGCGTTCGCAAATTTGGCTCGCTGTGTTGTTATTGGAAGGGCCCAGACATGCCGAAGTTCCATTTGTCGCCGAATGAAACTAACATCTAGCAGGCTGCGAGAGTTACTTTGCGAGCTCCGAGATGATCTAGCGCGTAACCGCCTAACAGTGTCGACGTTCTTCAATCTATGCTGTCGAAAATAACAAGTCCTTCAATTGCAACATCTAAAATCAGAGCAAATCTAGTCGTGGTAGCTGCGCATGGTGCGGACACATGCTCACTTCAGGCGATGCTTCCGGATGTGTTGAGATTCACAGCAGTTCAGGTTGTCGGAAAAGGTTCAGATTTGTCGGTGTTATTTTCGAGTGCTGGACCATGGGGACTAGGAGTCGTTCAGTCGAAAACGGCGACGATTTCAACGCGCACTGAACCTCGCAGGCATGAAGGGACTTCCGTGGCACTGTAGCGGCACCCAAGCAAAGAAGAGTAATATATATATATATATATGTATATATATATATATATACATATATATTCGTCAGAACATCGCAAGATACCGCCCATATAATCCTTGTTGGTGTTTCTAGGCATTGTTATTTGTATTTTTCAGTATAGGAACTTTCGAAAGGCTTGACATGGACTAAACCTGAGGCTTCAGGATGATCCGTTCTGTACAGCTGTCGGATTCTTGATTTTTGCGTTTCATGGCCCAAACCTCAAGTCTACTTCAGCCTTTTCGAGCCTCGGCCCGGCCAGGAATGTGCTGACTGTAAAGTCAAGGGCGCGGTCCTATGGCTATGACTGCGCTGCTGGTGCAGGCCCCAATGAAGGAGAAGACGAGACAACGACCAACTGCAAATCGCTTGGCAGGTAGTCGTTTGCAATCGGATTTAGTCTGATCTCATCCAGTCGGGGGTCATGTGGCTTCAGTTCCAGGAAAATCTTCAGTTCACATGAGGTATTGTGGTGTTTAGCAGGATTCAAGATTTTAAGACGTCAGGCTAATAGGTTCAGAGCTCCATCAGGGTCTGAGCTGCTCAAAGCTGAAGCCTTCAAACTAAGAGTACGGCCCCGAGACTTGCAAACTGCGGCAGGTTCGACGAGGACGGCCCCCCTCGACTGACGCGTGCCTCCCTACAGGAGGTTCGGACCTTTTGGGCTTTCAGGGCAGCGCTGAAGCCTGCCCTTCGTTTACACCTTTAGGCTTTTAGGGTGATCGTTGCGTTTGAGAGAGATAGGGCCTAGATGGCATTGTGGCATCGTGCCTAGCTTTTGGTCATGTTGATCTGGGTTCATGATGGAAGAATTGTTGCGGCTTGGATGTGCCTTGTGGCTTCGTGTTTGCCAGCCTCACCACTCAGCAAAGCTTGCTCAGCCCCCACCTTCAACATTGAGTCCCGAATCAACGCACTGTGCTCAAGCCTACCTCCTTTGCATTTGGGGCTTGCAGCGGTTTCGGGTCCAAGGATTCAAGGACAGACGATGCTCTTTGAAAGTGGGCCTGCAACTCGAGGCTCTGAGATTTGGGACACAAGGGTTGCCGTGTTTTTTGCCACAGGCTCTTAGCCCAAGACAGAGAAGCCTGGAACTGAAAGCGCCAATATTTCGATAGGTCCTCTGGCGGTGGGGCGACGACGGCAAGATCGATCCTGAGTGGACCACAAAGGCTGGGGCATTGGTGGCTGAGCATCAGCTCGAAGACCACCATCACCGCAATCCTTATGTACTGTCGGCAATCACTATGTACTGATGCTCTTGCCAATGTAAGCTCGTAGGTTTTATTGCTGCCGTTGCTTTAGCAGTATCCTT